CAATGCAATCTGCATCCCCAAACCTAACCGTTTCCTGTGTTCTGTTCTGTATGTTGTCTTATTGGTATTTATTGAAAAATCGGTCCGCAGATAACATCAAACAAGACGTGCTACATGGCCGATACGGATATATCTGCGTTTACCGTGTTGGGTGGTGGCGGCGGTGAAGAAAAATGCTTGATTGCAAAATGTTTGTCGTTCACTGGCAAAGCTCGATGTCCATGATGGTCCATGTGCCAGTGAGGATGAATTATAGGATATATGGGAGCAGCACCAGTTTGGTGGATAACTTGAAACTTCAAGCTGCTGCTGTTGCTGCTGTGCGCCTGCTGATCCTGACTGGTGCTTTGCTGCTGCCGGCAGATGATGGTGAATGTGATAAATTTAAAATGTTTGTTTTTTCTCTTCTCTTGTCTTTATCCTTGTGTGCTCACTTACCGCTGCACTTGGGTGCAGCGGTGTGGTGATAAATGCATCAAGTCTGCTTATGAAGACCGTACGGCTCAGGTGGGAGATGCATATTGTTATGTTGCATACGATCCTTTTCACTAGGGGATTTTTGCTTTATGATGATGCTTTAAATTTGCTTTATGTGACTTAAAGTTTTGCACTAGGTATAATATGCTTGCCAGGGTGTCTGTTTGGTATACAGGTATACCTCGATTTAACGTAACTGTTACTTTTGAGTTGATCGTAGATTTCTCGCAAACAACAATTCAACCACACAAATTAACATTACGATTAGATAGGGGATTGTCTCACCTGTCCGATAGTATTGTTACTTTGCGTGATTGAATTGTTGCTTGTGAGAAATCGACGCTCGAAATGAAAAGTGACAACGTCGGTTTTTCGAGGTATACCTGTAGTCATTAATATAGTGCAACGTTTACGTAGAAAAAATGTTTACAGGAACAGTTCATCGAATTCGAATGAAAAAAGACATAATGTGTCCAACCTTAAACAGAATAACTTATTACAAAGTTTATTTCATTTAAAAGAATTCATCTTTATAGAGCTGAAAAGTGATTCATTCCATACAAGATTTTATACGTATTTCGACTATAATGTGCAGTTTACATCAGTGTAATTCCCAGGGACGATTGCACATCTATCATGGATACAAAATGCTAAGTGAAATTAAATGGAAAGTAGTAATTGCCATCAACCCAATGCGTAACTTAAAAAAACAATTTCTAATAAATTACACTAGTTTACAAAACAACATAAAAAGTGTGAACTTTAGTGGTTGACCAACTTTTCTAATGCAAAATCCTACGCTGAATTCAATGCCGTGGTCAGAAAAAATTAAAGTAGAGCCATTTTTGAGATATACAAAAATTTTGATTTTTTGAATTTTGGACAAAAGTACGATTACTAAAATGTCAATATCTTTGGAACTAGTGCACCAATTTTAAATCTTTTTTTTATGAAAGTGAAGCTAAATAAATTTGCTATCGTTCACTAGAATATTATGTCTTAATTAAAAATTTAATTTTGAAGTCATTTAAAAATTTACAGCATTTTTTTTATTTTTCCTGCGAATTTTCCATAAAAATCTTGTGTTAATCAACATTTTTAATGGGATAAAAAGATTCAAAAAATCATTCCATAATTTATTCTTAAAGTCCATTAAAAACTGGAGAAAATGAGCCTTTAATGGATGAAATCGGTTGGAAATTGTCGAAGTGGTTAGCATTCATACCTCTCACGCCAAAGTCACGAGTTCAAATCTCACCCCCGGATAAGTCACGAATGACCCAAGAGCGTTAAAGTAACTATAATTAAAAAAAAAAAAAAAAAAAAAAAAAAAAAAAATGTTCCAAGATTGGCCGTTGTCCCGCTCCTAGGTTCATGCACCACTTCCAGTAAGCCTTTCTGTGGACGTGTACGCATACGGTGCATTTCACTAACACTATCAGCTGTCACGCAAAATTAAATGGGATATTTTCAACAATATAATTTACGCTAGTGTTTGTGAGACCGCTCGGCGAGAACCTAACGCAACCAACTCAATTTGACAGCTTTCTTTCTTTAACATTGCTTAACGATGTATACGACAAAACGTGAATTCAAGTGTAAAAATGATCCTCAAAAGTTTTGTTACGCATGTGGCAACTATATATTTACAAAATCGGTCAATTTCACTGCTTCGTTGCAAACTGCATACAGGCTTTATTTTAAAATTGATCCTGGAGACTTGGATGTCAAGCGCAAGGTAAATTGATTTTTTGAATAACTTTAATAGAAACAATTTATGTACAGCATGGTAGTGCTTTGTTCTTTCCTGATCGATATTATCTTACTTCATCTATTTTTGATAAGTGTTAATGTCTTACTTACTAACTCACTTATTTGTTATCTGTCAGTCGCTATTTGTCCTTTGACATGCCCACCATATGGCGTCGACCGTTTTGTCATGCAACGGATTGTTATTTCTGCTTGACAAAAGTTAAGCAACAAGGACGTCACAAAACAGTTGAGTATCCACAAGTGGCTTCTATGACAAAACCTGTTCCACATTCAAGTTCGGTCCCGTATCCTGTTTATCCAAAGCGGAAACGAGCGCCCTCTGTTGAATCGACCGTTACAAAAAGTGAGGAGGAATTCAAGGAGGAATGCGAGGAAGACTTCGAGGTGGAATTGGAAAGAAACCCAAAACTGTTTACACAATCCGAATTTAATGATTTGGTGCGAGATCTCGACTTATCGAAGGAGAAATCCGAATTGCTGGCATCACGCTTGAAAGAACACAACATGCTGAGCAAGGAGGTCAAAATTTCTTGTCACAGGAATCGTCACAAGAAATTTGACAAATATTATTCTACAAAGGACAAGGCATGTTTTTGCCATGACGTAAACGGCTTGTTTGAAGAGTTTGGTGAGCCATATGATCCAGCTGAATGGCGTTTATTTATCGATAGCAGCAAGTTGAGCTTGAAAACCGTTTTACTGCATCAAGGGAATGAGAAACCTTCTATTCCATTAGCTCATGCCGTTAATATGAAGGAAACGTATGAATCAATAGCTCTATTGCTCAATTTGATAAATTACAATCAACACAATTGGAAAATTTGTTCCGATCTTAAAGTGGTTGCCATGTTGACTGGATTGCAACAGGGATACACAAAATATATGTGTTTTTTGTGTAAATGGGACAGTCGAGCTCGTAAGGAACACTACGTCCGAAAAGATTGGCCAAAACGGGATAATTTCACAATTGGTAAAGACAACGTTAAAAATGATCCTCTTGTGGTAAAAGAACGCATAATACTTCCACCACTACATATAAAACTAGGGCTATTCAAAAATTTCGTCAAAGCGTTGCAAAAAGAAGGGCCGGCATTCCAGTACTTGAAATCAGTATTTCCAAATTTATCTGACGCAAAGATAAAGGAAGGTGTATTTGTTGGCCCACAGATCAAAAAACTGCTCAATGATTCCGCATTCAATACAGTTTTGACACCAGATGAGGAAGAAGCGTGGAAATCGTTCCAGCGTGTTGTCACAACCTTTTTAGGAAATTTCAGAAGCCCAGATTATGAGGAAGCCGTCGATGAATTGCTCAAAAATTATGAGAAAATAGGTAGAAATCAAAAATATTGTGTTTGTTACATATAATTAATTTCAAATCATTTTATTTCACTGAACACAGGTGTGAATATGTCTTTGAAGATACATTTCCTACATTCTCACATGGATTTTTTCCCGGAAAATCTTGGTGACGAGAGTGATGAGCACGGCGAACGTTTTCACCAACAAATGAAGATGATGGAACGTCGTTACCAAGGGTTTTGGGATGAAGCAATGATGGGTGACTATTGTTGGTTTCTGATTCGAGAAACAAGTTCAAAACATCGAAGACAAAGTCATTCGATTCTCAATCATTTTTAATAAAACCTAAATAAATTTCTTTTGTATCAACTCGGTTTTAAATCCTGATATGCCTTAATTAAATTGATATGTAGAGAAAAGAATCTTCCATGAAAACTTTACATGCGATTTGGATGCTTACAACGACACCTAGAAAAGGAACTCTAAAGCTGTTGTATTTCAGCAACATTTTTAAGTGTTTTACAAAAATGCTCATAACTTCGACAATTTCTAACCGATTTCATCCATTAAAGGCTCATTTTCTCCGGTTTTGAATAGATTTTAAGAATAAATTATGGAATGATTTTTTGAATCTTTTTATCCCATTAAAAATGTTGATTAAAACAAGATTTTTATGGAAAATTCGAAGGAAAAATAAAAAAAAATGCTGTAAATTTTTAAATGACTTCAAAATAAATTTTTAATTAAGACATAATATTCAATTAAAATTGGTGCACTAGTTCCAAAGATATTGACATTTTAGTAATCGTACTTTTGTCCAAAATTCAAAAAATCAAAATTTTTGTATACCTCAAAAATGGCTCTACTTTAATTTTTTCTGACCACGGCATTGAATTCAGCGTAAGAGTTTGTATTGGAAATGATCATCACCTTACCGAGTTCAAAAATGCTGTAAACTAGTGTTATCATTCTGTGTGTACTGATCTGCGCGTGCAAAATTACTTTACCTTTTCTTCGCTGCTTTGACTTATCTGAAGCCGATCTTGTTTGAATTCATTCTTAAAAAGGGCATTATTGAAGTGACCTCTAATTTCAGCATCATTCCGATTAGGACATCAATGAGTAAACAATCTCGTATGGTAAAGTGAATATACAGTAATTTCCTCCATTAAGTCATTGACATAAAAAACAATTTTCTTCACCTGCCCCGGCGTAGTGGCTATCACCTAAACCTCTCACGCCACAGTCACGAGTTCAAAGCTCATCCCCGGTGTCAAGCAGTGAATGGCCCAAGAGTGATAAACTGACTATAAACATAATTTATAAAACCTTTCTTTACGATAACATGACGTCAGCTATTGAAATCAGCGATGTTCACTTCGATAATGTGATTTTTCACTTTTAACTTTGCCTGCAGAAGGGACCACTGATTCATTGTTAATACTCACCCAACCGTCACGTCGAAAATGTTACTACCGACCGAACTCGACACCGCCATGTCGCCAAAGCCCTTTCGGGCCACAATCACAGATGTGATCAGATCGGGAATTGAGGTACCAGCTGCTAAAAACGTCAGTCCCATCACCTGTAAATGACCAGAAATAATTAGCATATATGAGGACCACGTGCATCCAGGCCTGTCGGAGATGCTATGCTGAAAAACGGTTCAATTGTTGACAAATGCTTACCTCCGGTGGTATTTTCGCCGTATCACCAGCAACATTAGCCCACCACACCATAAGATACGAGTATGCGGCTATCCACAAAATCGAACCTATAAACGTTACCGGGTAATACTTCTTACCCCTTGGTGTTCTAGTGTCAGGAAGTGTTAAGTACAGTGGAAAGATAATTGGAGCAACTAATAGGTAGGTTATTCGTTTCCTATTTGTCTTTGGCCAAGACATGCTTAATGCCTCTGGTGGTTCTTCTTCTAATTCGTTACCCTGAAAGTAATGTAGCGGTTAGAAAATGTAAATATAATGCCGAATTTTATTCGATGTACGCCTATTTTAGCATCCATTGTACGGGATTATGTAAATGTATGTAAAGTTTACTATTGTTTAATGAGACCCCACAGTGCTTCGTTTATCATTTTTTTTTTTCCTTTGGTTTGTTTTTTTCCGTCGATCTTGTTTTCCGTGCTGAGCACCAATGCTACCGACGTGCCAGGAAGGCAGCTCCCACACCTGGACCCTACCCATCGACCCATCAACTCATGAACCGGGGACCAACGGCTTTACTTCCCATCCGAAGGAAGGCGTGATCAGAGATGTTATGCCTCAGAATATCCCGGCGGCGCCGACTGGGATTGAACCCAGGCCTGCTGGGGTGAGAGGTAATCACGCTTACCATTACATCACCGGCGCCGTTATCTTCGTTTATCATGTTCTGTTTAAAATGGAAGATAAAACACACATCGAGTTGAGATCAGTCGTACACTTGCATCTTAATATTCTTGAGAAATGAACGTAAATAGTTGTTCTTTAAAAAATAATATACAGATAACAGAGAACTGAACTTTGTTTTTATTAAGTACTAAATTTATTACCGACGTGAAAAATTGTGTTTCTTTGTTTCGGAACAAACGGTCTCCAATGAAATAAAATATTGTGGATCGTATTTATTTCGCTTACAGTTACTTTCAGCGTTCACATGGTGATGAACTAGCCTACGGCTAAAATCTCCAAAAAAATTTAAAAAAAAGTCGGCGTCAACGTCCGCAATGCAAATTCACCAGACGTTAACGTTACCGACGGTTATCGATTAACAGCCCTGCTTATTACTCATTTAAATTCCAATAAAGATGCCAATACTCTAGCCAATTCTGGGGGTGCCCAGAACATGTAGTCAATGTTTATTAATTTATTTGATAAGGCTCAAATGAATAAATTTTACAGAGCCGAAGATTCTTGGTCACTTTACAATACATCTTAAAACTATAGTCAAAAGGTACAACACAATAAACACTTTATCTTCCGCTATCCTAAGAGCCTTCTCCATCACAACTGGAGCCGCTTCCAGTGGTTTTGGCAGCTACGCCATCGGGGGGCAGAGCGCTTCCATTGCAGCAATGGACGCAAAACGTGGTCAGCACTCACACACTCATCACGAAACGGTTGCTTTCCAAAGTCGACGACACGTCGACCGAAAGAACTGCTGATGAAGAACAATGAGGAGGACCACAAAATGGTTGCTGCCGAGAAAACAGACGATCGCGTTGCAGACATCGAGAGTGGCCTGCTTTTGTCGACAGCCGAGTGAACACTCTTGTAGTCAATGTTGACCCAAGCCAGGTTTAGGCTAAAGAGCCTAAATTTATAAAGAGGCGACATGTCAAAATTGGAACAATCGGTTGTCCGTCAAAGTCATAGGAAAAGTCATTCCAATCGAGCAGAAGACCTGTCAAATGGATAAGATATCGTTTCTTTATAAATTCAGGCTCTTTAGTTTAGGCAACTTTTTTGGGGGGCACTGGTGTGCATAGGGTGGGGCAAGGTGGGGACAATTGCGCCCCCTTTTATAAATAAGGTATTTATTTCCACATTTATAAAATTATGACATAAAATAACTTTATTTCTTGATAACTTGATTTGAAGGTAAAATAACTTCATTTCATAATATAAGGGCACAGAAAACCTTTTATTACGTCAATTCCTTCGAGATGGTGCCTGAAAATTTCACCAAAAAGGTGTATGAAGGGTCAAACTTCAATAAAATGTGTTGGTCAGAAAATTGCACCGCAGTGGTGCATACAAAAAAATCTGGTGTATTTTTTTGGAGCATGGAGGATTAAAAGAAGAGGGTAAATTTAAGGTTGAAAAAATTCACCTCCTTGGTGGTAAATCGAAGAAAAAGCTTTTTATTAAATATTTCTTTGTGTAAAAATATCATCAAGGGTGTGCATGGAGGGACTAATCTAAATGAATAAGTCTGGAGGAAAAATTTAATAACGCAAAAAATTTGGAGGTGCACATTTAGCTAAAAATTTCTGGTGGAAAGCTCGCAACACTGTGGTGAATGTAGAAGCAAGGGTTATTCATTTTTCTAGTGCATAATTTGCATCGTTCTGATGAATGCAAGCTTCATTGAAAATTTATGGTCCATGAAGAGGCAAAGCCTGGAAATTGCACCACAAAGGTGCATGGTGAAACAAACTTCACTGACAATTTTTGGTGCACCGTTCTGGTGAATGGTGAATGCATCGCTCTATTAATGAAATAAACAGAAAATTTCTGGTGGAAAACTTGCACCGTTCTGGTAAATGAAGGCACAAGATTTATTTAAAATTAAGCTATATTGAAAATTTCTGGTGGAAAATCTGCACCGCTCTGGTAAACGGATGGGCAAGCTTTTCGGAAAATTTTTGCCCTTAAATTTGCATCCTGCATTCATTTGTTTGCAATAGTGAAACAAATTTTAAGAATAGTTTCTGGTAGAAAATTTGCACCATTCTGATGATTGGAGGGAAGCTGCTTAACTGAAAATTTATGATGACAAATCTGAAAATAGAGGCAAGCTTCATTTGGTGGAAAAAATGCAACATTCTGATGATAGGAGAAACCAGCTATATAGAAAAAGCCTGGTGGAAAATGGAAAAAGGAAATCTGCACCAATCAGAAGATTGGAGAAGCAATTTTTATTGATTTTATTTATTTGAATTAACGGTAAAAAAATTGCATCGTTCTAGACAATTGAAATTTTCTGATGTAAAATAACCTGGGGGCAAGTATGTATTGAAAGTTTCTGGTGTAAGATTTGCAACAATCTGATTTGAAAATTCCTAATGTAAAAATTGCACTGTTCTGGTGAATGGACGGACAACTTAAACTTGACTTCCGAGAAGAACCTCAAGGGTATTGAATTCTGAGGGCAGTTCCAAAAGAAAAGATTTCTGGGGATGATTCCATGAAAATTCTGCGAATAATTTCTAGTGAATCCTGCAGATAGTTCCAAAATAATTTCAAAAGAATACCGAGAGAATTCAATTTTTTCATGAAATTCCAAAGGGATATTGAGGAAAGTTTCAAGGGAATTCCGAGGATAATTTCAAGCTCATTCTGGGAAGAATTTCTGCAGAATACAGAGGAAATTCTTCTGAAACTTTTAAGGAATTTCAGTTCCAAGGTGTTCTGAGAAAAAAAGTTCTAAAATATACCGAGAAGAACGTCAAGGATATTAAATTCTTAGGACACTTCCAAAATATTTCTGGGGAGTATTCAAAGAAAACTCTGCGGATAATTTTTAGTGCATCCTGCAGATAGTTTCAAGATAATTCCGAAAAGAATACCGATAAAATTAAATTTTGAGTGAAATTCCAAAGGGATATTGAGGAAAATTTCAAGACAGTACCGATCATTTCTAGCTCCTTCCGGGAATAATTTCTGGATAATACTTAGGAGATTCTTCTAAAACCCTAAGGGAATTTTAGTTCCAAGGTGTTCTGATCAATAGTCAAGAAGAGTTCTAAAAATAATTCCAGAGGACTTCGGAGAAGAATTTAAAAAGAGCTCATAGAGTTCTAAAAATTTCGAAAAGAACCTCAAGGAATTCTGAGGATGGACTTTTTCGCAACAGTACATAGTTTGAAGACAGCTTTTGGATTCCCTAATTAAAAAGTGGGTGCCATTGAACCTTGGTCTATTGTTGTCTTACTAAGAATTTGTCTAAAAATCTTCTCTGAAAATTTCAAGTCATTTGTTCTCGTGGTTAAAAAAGTTATAGCTGTTTATGTGCGTTGCAATAAATTCGGGATTGTCCTTTATATCATCTTTAAAACATGTTGAATGTTCGGCATCATTTCGACTGGCGGTACTTTGGAACAGGGTTGACATGCTGAATCCTTCGCACTGTACTCGCTTGTCAAAATAGTTTTGTGCGCTGTACCAATCGTTTCATATTTTAAACCTTTTTAATGATCCTATTAGCCTTGGCATTTAGGTCAAAATTTGAAAAAAATAGGACTACAATTTTCGCTGAAAATCGCAACGGTTATAGTAAAGTGTAACTACAACAGGATATAAGGGCTTACAAAACCTTGAAATAGTGAAACATAAACTGTAACGATGCCTTCCAAATATGCAAAAACGTACTGCACAAAATTTCAGAAAGGTAACTGAATAAAAGATGCTACCAGTACCTTGAAGAATATATTTTCTTTGGTTTATATTTTCAACCTGTAAAGAAGAGCATGACGCAATACATTATTACAACGATTCCTACAGGGTTCAGAAATTGGAAGTGAGCGACCGAGTTGCTGGGCAAACACAATCGCAGTGATACCCACCCATGTTGGTAGTATGGAGCATGGAAGAATTTCAAAACCAGGAAGGGTATCGACGAAGAACTGGACCACCAAAAAACAGCTATGATTGCTGCTGGTGAGACAAAGCGGCTACAAAATCGCTATATAATGGAACGTTTCATCGATATTGTGCGCATACTTTGCAAAGGTGGCCTAACTACGATCCTGTGCTAGAAAGGTGCCAAAAATTGCCAGTACACAAGTAACCGTATTCAAAATGACTTGATTATGTCGTTGCACAAAGTAATGTTGCGGAACATGTAATGTTGCGGAAATCGATTAACGTACCCCATTCTAGTTGAAATTCTAGTACTACTCAATGTTTGTTTTGATTCACTATGAAAGTTTGACATAAAATGAGGGGTTAGTGGATTTTCCCTAAGAGAAGAGGTGGCAATACGGGGGCGAAAATGAACCACTTTTCTGTCAAACGTGATTGGCCGATTTCATATGCGTAAGATAGATATAGGGATAGAGATAGAAATAAAAGAGGAAGAAGCCAATTGTCACCTCTTCCTCTTAGGATTTTCATATGATTCGAGGGATGAATCGTGCCCCATTCTAGTAAAAATTCTAGTACTACACTAAGTTTGTTTTGATTTGCTATGAAAGTCTGACGGATAAAATGAAGGGTTCGTGGAT